GTTAGAGTTTCGAACGAGCAGGTCGATATACAGACAACTATGAAGCGACCGTGTAAATGCGGCGAGGAGGGCCGGAAGTGTGAAGGTGGTTTGTGAGCGCCTGGGATTTAGGGAATATTGCGTTCATTCATTGATGACGGGGTCCCGTGGAAGAAAAATTAACCCTAGATTATCCCTACTTTTAGAAACGAGCTTAAGTACCAAGGAACTGCCCGGGCATCTAGCCTTCGCATCAGCTCCAAAAATCTGCACACGGACCCTGGCAGGGTGTTACTGACTGCACGTGTCTCGCCCTCCACGGAGGCATCCGGCCTCCCAAATCCCCGGGCCGAGTTTACGAACAGCATACTTGAACATGCACTGTATCTGGGCACGTGTACAATGCATACCTTGGGCATGATCCAGCTGCTGTTTCAGGCATTTCTTTATCCCCCACACAATGTGCTGGGACATGTGAGCCAGCTTATTTATAGATAAGGATCACTTTTCAGGGGACCTGGCAGCTCTGGCCTCCTGGGTGAGGCTGTGGCTTCCTGAGGCGAAGCCTGCACTGGCTGTTGGGAGGCGCGGTGTGCCCAACACAGCTGATTCGCTGAGAAACCCTGGAGAAGTCACTTCTCCGCCCTGAGCGGTTGTATTGCCTGATTGCTATCCCCTCCTGCGGCAGACTCCTTCGGTCCCACCCATCACGTCACAGCTGAGAGGGCTGGAGTCTGATGCTGGGTGCTGCTGCGGGACCAGGACAGCTACTCCTGTCTCTGATTCTCAGTCCCCTTGATTAACAAGCCAAGGAATCATATCTACTGTACCCACATGCACAGACCTGGAAAGGGTGTTCATCACTTGTTAAGTGAAAAATAAAATTAAAGTTGTAATATAATGCCCCCTTTTTTTTAGAGAGTTTTTGCTATAGAGTGTGTGCACTCGCTGGAGAGACAGAGAGAGACAGAGAGATACAGGTGAGAAATCAACCCCCAAGAGGGATGGCCACATTGCAATCCCTTCTCCAGTCTCCTCTTGGGATTTTGGACAGACACACACTTGTGCCTGGCGTGAGTTTTAAGCTGCCAGGTCTGGGACTCGAACTGCGATCAATTATGTGGGAGTCCAGCGACATAACCATTATGCCATCCACTGGTCCCATAATCCCATTTCTTTTAAAAGATGATAGAACAAAAAAAATCCAGTATAAACAATATAATCCAATTTTTTTTTTTTTAGTTTTTTTGCCATAGGGCACGTGTGGTCACTAGAGAGACAAAGAGGGAAGGTGAGAAATCACCCCTGGTAGGGTGGCCACACCACAATCCCTTCTCCATTCTCTTCCTAGGATTCTGGGCATCCATGCAACTATGCCCAGTGTGATTTTCAAGCCACCAGGTCTAGGACTTAAACTGTAGTCAGCTATGTGAGAATTCAGCACCTTACCCACCATGCCACCTGCTGGCCCCATACTCCATATGTTTGAAGAGCCTATCTATAAACACACAGGGAGAAAGTGCAGGACAGACATCAAAACTACAAGAAGCCCCAGCCTTGTGCATGCAGTGTGGGTACTGACTGCAGTGCTGGAGGCCGCGGTGGGTTTGGCTCTCTGGCTGGCTGGTTGACCAGATGTACCGAAGTTCTGACAAGCTGGAGAGCTGAGAGAAGGGGACCACAGTATGTCAGGCACACCCATTTTTCTCTCTCTCTCAATCACACACACGCACCATCGTGAATAAAATAAGTAAATGGACTTAGAAAAAGACAGGCCCAGATGTTTAAGACGGCTGGATGCCACATGGCCAAGTATGCAGTTTGAGTCCCTAACCCAGCAGCCTGAAACACACACCGGGCGCATATGCGTGTGCATGCCCAGAGTCCGGAGAGGAGGATGGAGAAGGAACTGCAGTGTGGCCATCCCCCGGGGGTTCTCCCCACCTCCCTCAAGTGAACACACACACCCTGTGGCCAAATTAAAAGAAGGGAAAAAACGTGAACCGTGGTTTTCTATGAGTGATAGGATAATGGATCATTTTTGTTTCTTCTTTTTATTTACATAAATTTTTAAATATTTATTCACCTATTCCATGAACATGGATGTATGTGAGAGAGATACGGCACCTCTGACAGGGTCCCGGTACTGCAACGGACCCCTGGCTTCAGCCAGCCTGGATCTTGGACACGCATGTGTCCAGCGCACCACCCAGGCAGGTCTCCACACAAACCGGGACCTCCTATGCGGGCCCGCCTTTGCAGAGTGCCACACCTTACTGCCGCGTTACTCTTCAGACCTCGTTTATATGAACTTCTAAAGTGGACTTGCTAGGAATAAAAATTAAAAGCAAATAGTGGAGGGGCCAGCAGATGGCATAGCGATTATGTCACTGGACTCCTACATGGCTGACACCTGTTCAAGTCCCAGACCCGTTGGCTTGAAACTCATGCCGGGCATGTGTATGTGCGTGCCCAAGATCCTGGGAGGAGAATGGAGAAGGGACTGCAACGTGGCCACCCCCCTCGGGGGGAGGGGTGATTTCTTACTTTCCCTTTCACTGTCTCTGTCTCTCTCTGTCTTTCTCTGTGAGCGCATGTGCCCTAAGGCAAAAACCTCTTAGGGAAAAACCAAAAAAGCAAATAGTGGAAAATAGAAAAAACAAGAAATACCTACTTTGGAGGATCATGAGAAGGATAAAGCGAGAAAACACCTGTAAAAGGCTTAGCACACTGCCTGGCTGAGGTCACTTCCCACGTGGGACCTTGTTCTGCGCTCTCCACCTTGCTCTGGGGCTGCCGCAGAAGGCTCCCACCCGGTTCTTGCCCAGCTCATCTGCTCTGGGTTCACAGAGCTTCCAGAAAGAGCCCACCAGGCAGGAGTTACCGGCCCCCCATTTAGAAAGGCAGAGAATGTACATGCCCACACTGAGAGTGGGTGGCACTTCCCGGCTCACCCCCTAGGGTGCTCACTCACAGTGGGGCTCCTGGGGCTCCGGAGCAGTGAGTCTAGAAAGTGCCTGTACCTGGCTACCACGATACCGGAGTTTCAGGACGGCACTTCGCAGGGCCTTGCCAGCTCCCGGAGGGGGACTTACAGGCAATTTCCTGACCTTAGTTGGTCTGGGATCCCTTTTTTTCAAGAAGCATCTTTTTTTTCTTTTTTAAAATTTTTATTTATTCATTAATTTATTTTAATTTGACCAGAGAGAGACAGAGAGAGAGGGAGAGAAAGTGGGAAAGCAAGCCACCAGGTCCAGGACTTGAACCGTAGCTGGCCATGTGGGAGTGTCCAGTGCCTTAACCACCACACCACCTGCTGGTCCCTCAAGAAGCATCTTAAGGGACTGAAGTTCCCACACTTTGGGAAATCATGATCCAACTCAACCCTTTCATTTCTTCCTTCCTTCCTTCCTTCCGTCCCTTCCTCTTTCTTTCTTTCCTTCTTTTTCTTCCTTCCTTCCTCCCTCCCTTCCTTCCTTCCTTTCTTTCCTTATTATTTTGTTGTTGTTGTTGCTATTTCATTTTCTAGATGGGTGGCTAAAGCTGGTGAAGAGTGGCCTGCTGAGGGACCAACAGTTAGCGTAATGGCTATGTCGCTGGACTCCCATGTAGACTGCGATTCAAATCCTGTACCCAGTGGCTTAAAGTCACGCCGGGCGCATGTGTGTGCGTGCCCAAGATCCCAAGAAGAGAATGGAAGAGAAGGGATTGTGGAGTGGCCATCCTCCCGGGGGGGGATTTTTCACCTTTAGTCTCTCTGTCTCTGTCTTTCTGGCAAGCGCATGAACTCTATAGCAAAAACCTCTCCAAAAAAAGAGAACATGGAGTCGTTCCTTTGGCAACATATATGCTTGCTGAGGATTAATGAGGTTAGCCAGTCCTCAAGATCTCGTAACGGGCACTTCAAAAAGTTCATGGAAGAGTGCATTTAGCGTACATGTTTATTTGGGGGCAAATTTTTTTTTTAATTAATGCGTAGGGGTTTTTTTTGTAACATGAGTGTTCCATGAATTTTCTTTTCTTATTTTTTTTAATTTGCTAGAGGGTGCATATGCTCACCAGAGAGAGGAAGACAGCATCCCCCAGGGAGAATGGGTATACCATAATCTCTTCTCTTCCATTTCTCCATACTGTCGGGACTTGAGGCACACATGCACGTGCACCTGGAGTGTTTTTCAAGCCTCTGGGACTGGGATTCACACCATGGTTGACCACATGGGATCTGTTTCCCTTAATCACTGGACAACAGAGCTGGCCCTCCATGACCTTTTTTGAAGACCCCTCATGTCTTTTTTTTTTTTGCCATAAGGTATGTGTGCTCACTGGAGAGAAACAGAGAGAGGGAAAGTGAGAAATCACCCCTTGGGGGGATGACCACACTGCAATCCCTTCTCTTCCATTCTCCTCTCGGGATTTTGGGCACGCATGCACACATGCCCAGTGTGATTTTCAAGCTGCTGGGTCCAGGACTCAAACCATACCATTGGGCATGTAGGATTCATGTAGTTGACCGTGATTCGAGTCCCAGACCCAGTGACTTAAAACTCACACCAGGCGCATGTGTGTGCATGCCTAAAATCCTGAGAAGAGAATGCAGGAGAAGGGATTGTGGCATGGCCATGCCCTCTGGGGGTGATTTCTCACTTTTTGTCTGTCTGTCTCTCCAGCAAGCACACGTGCCCTATTGCAAAAATCTCTCTCTCTCTAAAAAAAAGAAAGGATCTCTGCAACCACTTATCAGATGGCTGCCCCCCCCCCCCCCGGGGGGAAGTGGGGGGGGGAGGAGAGGGGAAAAAGACTAGATGTGCCCTGAAGGACTCTGCCACCCTCCACCCAGCTCCAAAGGGAGCAAAAATGTCCAGTCCAGCTTCTCTCTGGGGCCAGAAGCGAGCTGGGAGCCAGGCAGTGGTGGGCTCCAAGCCAGGTCAGGCAGATGAGCCTCCTTGACTAAGAATCCCAGCGCTGAGCTATCCTGGAGCCCTCTCCCCATGGGCGGGACTCACTCTGCTAAGGGGACTCACCGCGGCTCCTCAGGCAATGGCACCTGGTCCTTCTCCCAAGTAATGACAGGGGCTGGCAGCCCTTCAATGTGGCACTCAAAGCGAGCTGTCCCGTTCTCCTCCACCGTCTGAGACTCCGGGTGCAGCGAGAAGTCTGCAAGTGCTGGGGATGAGGTCAGCGAGACACAGGCAGGGACAGGAGAGGACAGTGTAAGCTCACGGCCAGCACAGACAGTGACACACACACACACACGCATGCGTGTATGCGCACAGACGCAGGCGCACCCAGCACAACAAACGCAGGCCGGGGAGACACAGTGAAGAGGGGTGGTGAGGAATAAGTGGTTACTGGTCAGCTGAACCCCACGGCCACCCGCTCGCCCTGCCCCATTGCCTGCCAACACCGGCACGAGGGCAGACCTCAGGGAGATGCATGCTTCTGGCCTGAGAATTGCTTCTGTGCCTCTGAAAGCCACCTGGAGGTGGGCTGGGCACCATGCATTCCACCTCCTGGGGAGGGGGGGGGCGCCCTGAGGAGGCACCTGTGTGCCCCTGACATTCTTACAAGCCTCTCGGGAGGGCTTCCAGGAGGAAAGCACATTCAGCCTCTAGAACTCAAGAGAAAGAAAAGGAGGAACAGGGTAGAGGAGAAGCGGGAGGAAAACAGAACGTGCAAAGGCAGACGATGCAGGAAAGGACCTGCTAAGACGGAGAGGTGGCCAGGAATGGGCTTGAGAACGGGCATCTGTGCAAGTGCCAGAGCAGCCCCCACTCCACGCCCCGTGTCTCCTGGGTCTCAGCCTCAGCCCCCCCGGCAGGCACTTACTGGCAAGCTTGACCACAGCAGCCTGGCTGGCCACCACTCCGAGGGGGCCCTGGGCCAAGCAGGAGTAGCTGCCCTCAATGGCCCCCAAGGCCTCAGGGGCTGCCCCGCGGCTGGTGGCTGGGACAGCTGCAGGGAGCCATTAGGCAGCAGGTGCAGGTGGTCGTGCTCCAGCACAGCGTCCCCGTCCTTGCTCCACATCACACTGGTGGGGGGTCCAGCAGCAGCCCCCAGGCTGCAGTCCAGCAGCACAGCCTGGTCCGGGCCCAGGATCACACGCAGTGGTCCCGCTCCACAACTCAGCTCTACCGTCGTCTCCAGGGGCATCGGCAGCTCCCCTGTGCAGAGGAGGGGCACCAGGCCATCAGTGTGTGTCACAGCTAGCTCCTAAGTCACCCACTACAGGCTGGGGCACATGGTGGAGAAGCAGGGCTCCACTTCCAACCCGGCACCCTGGATCAGCACTGCCCTTCTGCACCCAGCCTTCCTGCCACCGTGTCCTCATCCTCAGAAAGACCCCGTTAGCAGCAGTTAACCAGTCAGTTATTCAGAACAGCCGCAAAGTAGAAACATCGCAAACCTCCAGCACCTGGTGAATGCATGACCGAGAGAAGACCTCAAAGGTTCATGCAAGGGCCAGAAGGTGGCATGGAGTTTAGGGTGCTGGGTTCCACACAGCCAACTGCACGGTCTGCGTCCCAGGCCCAGTGACCTGAAAATGACACGGGGTGTGTGTGCAAGCATGCCCAAAATCTCAAGAGGAGACTGGAGGAGAAGGGATTGCAGCATGACAGGGAGTTGATTTCTAACTGATGATCACCAGGGAGGTGGTTTCTAACTTTGCATCTCTTTCTCTGTGGTGAGTGCCTGTATCCTATAGGGAAAAAAAAAAGAAAAGAAAGAAAGGGAAGAAAAAAGAAGAGAAAATTTCACAGAAAAGTGGAATTAAAGCATGAGTATGTTTTTTCTTTTTTAGAGACATTTTTGCTATAGGGCACGTGCACTTGCTGGACAGAGAGACAGATGAGAAATCAGCCCCTGGGGGGATGGCCACACCACATCCCTTCCCCTCCATTTTCCTCTCGGGACCTTGGGCACGCATGCACACATGCCTGGCGTGAATTTTAAGCCACTGAGTCTGGGACTCAAACCACAGCAGACTACATGGGAGTCCACAGACGTAACAATTACACCATCTGCTAGTTTCACATGAGTATGTTTTAATGCAAAAAAAAAAAAAACCCCAAAAACATTGAAATCCATCATGCATAGTTTTCTCAATTTTTTTCTCTGCATTTTTCATGGAGGTTTTGACGCCCCCTGGTATCACTCGGCCATCAGAAGGAATGAAGTACCATGTGGACACAGCGTGCAAGCTTGATGCTGAGTGAAAGAAGCTGGTCACAAAATGCTGCGTGTCGTGTGGTCTCGGGTCTATGTGACATCAGAACAGGCAAGGCCGTAAGAGAAGAAAGCAGGCAAAAGGCCGCCAAGGTCTGGGGGAGGGAAGAGCAGAGCGGCTGCTACTGAGCGTGACGTTTCTTGTTGGAGCGACGAGAACGTTCTAGAGCTCCAGCGGCCGTGGCTGTGGAACCTTGCGAGTGTACGAAGCACCACCGATCTGTGCACTGTAATGGTGAATTTTGTTATGTGTGAGTTGTATGTCAATAAAAAAGGCACCATAACTCCTTCTTCCTAGGGACATTGCGAGCATGAGTGAGATGAGAGAGGGATGAGCACAAGGCTGCCCCTACAGTCCAGTGGTTAAGAGCTGGGTCCCACGTGGTCAAGCACATGGTTCGAATCCTGGCCCCAGGGGCTTGAAAAGCATGCGGGGGCATGTATGTGTGCGTGTCCCAAATCCCAAAAGGAACAGAGGAGAAAGGACGGCTGCATGACCTCACCCCATGGGGGGGGCTCCCCCTTCTCTTCGGGCACATGAGCACTCTGGAAATAAAGAATAAAATAGAAGAGGGGGAACCAGCAGTTAGCGTAATGGCTATGTCGATGGACTCCCACGTAGTCGACCGCGGTTCACGTCCCAGACCCGGTGGCTTAAAACTCACCCCGGGCGCGTGTGCGTGCGTGCCCAAGATCCCGAGAGGAGAATGGAGGAGAAGGGATTGTGGCGTGACCATCCCCCCTGGGGGGTGATTTCTCGCTTTCTGTCTCTATGTCTCTCTCTGTCTGGCGAGCGCACGTGCCCTATAGCGAAAACCTCTCAAAAAAAAAAAAATAGAAGAAGAGGGACCAGCAGATGGCGCAGCTGTTACGTTGCTGGACTCCCACAAGGCTGATCACAGTTCGGTCTGGACTTAGTGACTTCAGAATCACACCGGGTGTGTGCGCATGCGTGCCCAAGACCCCAGGAGGAGGATGGATAAGGGATTGCAATGTGGTCATTCCCCTGGGTTGGTTTCCCACTTTCCCTCTCACTGTGTCTGTCTCTCTCTCTCTGGCGAGTGCACACACCCTAAGATTAAAACCTCTAAAAGAAAACAGAGAAGAGAGCCCAGCGCCTGGCACAGCGTGGGGCTCAGTACCACCACGCCCCCCCCCCCGGGACCCAGCAGACCAGCTCGGTCACCATTATCCAGCTGAAAATACAGCAGAGGCTAGGGTAACACTGCAGCCAGGAGACGCTGGAAACGTACGGGTGTGAGAACGTGCGAGCGTGAACACATTTCCATCTCGAATAAAACAAAGATAAGTCCCAGCTGGTCTGTGGAGCCACCTGGACGTAGGAGGTCAGACTTCTCCAGCCCCTCCAGGGACAGAGCCAGCAGACCTCGCAGGGAAGAGCTCCATGCCCATCCGCCGGGCGAGGTTCACGCTGGACTCAGAGCGAGCAGAAGAGGAGGCGCCTGTGGCCCTTTCGCTCCGCAGCCAGCGGCCTCTTCTGCCCTGGAGCAGCTTGGCCTCCTTCTCAGCTCACTTCGCGAGGCCACGCAGGGGCCAAAGCCAGGACCCCGTCTCCCCACCCGGCCCAGGGCTCTGTTTTCTCCTGAGGTCCCAGAGGAGCCTACAGACCTCAACACTGACCTTGATACAAAGGGAAGAGGGGACGAGGGAGGATGGACGTTCCATCCTGGGGCACGGCAAAAGCATGAAGGCCAGTGTTCATCATTTAACCGACGTTTCAGCAGGGCCCAGCCACCATGACTGAAGGCGAGACGGTTCCTCCTGTTGCTCGTGTCAGAAAAGCCCAGTCCCTGTTTTTTTTTTTTAATAATTATTTAATTTATCATTATTATTCTTTTTTTAAAGAATTATTTACTTCTTTATTTCCATTTGCTATTGTTATTTTTTTTTCTTTATTTGATGAGAGAGAGAGAGAAAAGGAAAGTGAGAAAGCAAGCCACCAGGTCTGGGACTTGAACAATGGTTGGCCATGTGGGAATCCAGCGCCCTTATCCACCACACCACTTGCCGGCCCCTCATTATTATTCTTTTAACATGCTACAGGGCATGTGTACTCATTCACCAAAGAGAGGCAAAAAGAGAGAGGGAAAGAAGAGAGAGAAAGAGAAAGCAAGTCGCCAGTCCAGGACTTGAACTGTGGTCGGCCACGTGGGAGTCCAGAGCCTCAACCACCAGGCCACCTGCTGGTCCCCTCAGGATCCCTTCTTATTGTTTGGCCTGTCTGCTTGCTTTAAGGCAGGATGACATGCCTGAGAGTAAACCAGGGACAGAGGGGAGGACAACGGCCGGTTCTCATCACAAGGCAGGCGCGGGCTGACAGAGGACACGTGTGAAGCACAGTGGCTAGGGTCAGGGGTCCTCGGATGCAGACCCGGCTCCGACTCGCTTTAGCTGTGTCGGCCCCTGGGTTTCAGTGTACCCTAATGCAGCAGGCGATCTTGAGAGGCTGACTATTCACAGCCAGTGCACACACTGAGTCCTGCACTAGCACCTCACACCATCCACACACTGGGACTGAGGTCGCGGCTCTGCACACCTGAGCACACGCAGCTCAGCCCGACACCCTCGTCCACACCGGACACGTGCCTGCCAACCACAGGACCCCCTGTATACCCCAAGTCCCCCCCACCGTCTCCAAAGAAGGCAGAGGAAGAGAGGAGGAGGCCAGGGCAGAGGGTGGGGCTCTGACACTGCAGTGTGAAGGACAGACAGGACCTAGACCAGTCGCCCCCTTAATCCATCGGAGAGGCTCCACCAGGCCTGGGGCTGGACGTGTGGCCGCCGTGGCAGGAGTGGGTGCAGTGGGAAGTGGAGCGCTGCCACCCAGGTCACCATTCTAACTGCGGAAACCAAACTGGCTTTCAGAGAGCAGGCGGTGGGCTGAGGTGGAAGGGCTTTGACCGTGGGCAGCAGATTTAGGTTTTGGTCTTGCTGCTCCACCTGCCCTGACACGCCACTTCACCTCGCTGGGACTCAGTTTCCACGTGTGCCTAAGATGAAGATGAGGAGGCTAAGCCTGCGAGGATTCAACACAAGACGTCAGCGCCCCGTCAGCGCCCCAGCGCAGAGCCTCACGGAGGCTCATGCCCCCCAAGGAAAGGGGGCGCCTTCTTTAAAGGCGCCTGGTAAGCCGTTAAGGGGCACAAGTGCTAATCGCCCTTGTGCACATCCAGGCCCTTCTTCCCCTAAGGCCCTCCATGGCCGGATTCAAACCCGGGGTGGGAGGAAGGCGAGCACGGGCCCTCCGCCCAGCGGCTTCCAAATCCCGTCCCAGCCGCTGCGCGGTCGGTTTGGGTTTCAGGGGAGAAAAGCCCCACATGACACGAATCCTGCGCCCTCCGGCAGCTCCCCGCCCCCTAAAGCACGTCCGGGGCTTGGAAAATCCCCCGCCGCGCTGAACAAACAATGCGAACAGTTGGGGCCCGCGCAGCTGCTGGGTCTGTCAGCAGCCTGGGCTCGGCCGCCAGGACGGCCGCCAGAGGGGCCGGCGGCTGGCTGGGGAGCCCAGCGGAGGCTCCGGTTGCCTTCCTGAATATTCATGGCTCAGCAGATGTCTGGCCTCCCCACCTCCCAGGAGCCCAGCAAGGCGGAACAGGGAGCCCAGCGGGGATGGGTGCAGAGCCGCGGTGCCGCCGCAGAGGCCGGGCTGCAGAGGCTGAGCGAGCGCACTCACTGCACACGCGGGCACCCGGACACCGACGGGGAGCGGAGTGGGAGCCGGCCCTTTGCTCTGGGGGATGAACCCAGCATTGAAGAGAAAGCTGCCTCCAAATAAGAGGGTTCTCGCTGCCTCAATGCCCAGCCCACCTAGTGCCCAGGAAGTGAGGCCCCTCCCAGAAGCTCCCCTTGCCTTCCGCGGGCGAGGACCAAAAAAAACCCCACCTGCAGGCTCTTACCCACCTTTCCTCCTGCCCTAAACAGATAATGGATGTGGTGGGAGCAGCTTCGGCCTTGGAGCCAGAGTC